ACCGCGGCACTTGGCCTGGTGGCGAGCAGCATCGCCAGTGCCTCGGCTTCGGCCCGAGCGCGAGGTGGTCAGGGAAAAACTACAGACTGCCCAGCCACATCTGGGGGGGGCTGTGCTCTTTACCCCTATGGGGGGGCACGCCTTGTGGACATGATCTCTTGAGAGATCCGAGAACAATTCTGGGAGGTCTTCGTATCTAAAGCCTGTTAAACCCGATGGAGGTGCGTGCCGGTACTGAATCTAACCTCCCAGGAGCGGCATCCGCGGAAAAGGGGCGTCGAAGCCGATGGCGCCCCCCGGAGAACGGACCACGGCTCCCCCCTCTGTGGCTGGGCCCGACAGGAGAGGGGAGGCGGCCGCGAGGGCGCAACGCAGTGACACCGCGTCAAAAGGAGACAAAAGGGGCGACAGAGGCCCGACCGCATCGGCAAGCTCTCGGGCCCGAGCTCGCCGAGCGGGCGCCTGCCTGGGGCAGGGCTCTAAGATTGGGAAGGGCAGCTCACAGACAACCAGGCCACCCCGAAGAGCTCCACCAGCTTGGGGGACCAGGTCCGCGCAAATGCTGCAAGCCTCCCAGAAATGATTTCGAGACAGAGTTCAGGAAGTCGTGGTACCATCTTCCCTCGCCGTGCCCCTTCACTCCTTCCTGCTTGCCTGTCTCTCTCACCCCCTCCTTTCCCACATCCTTTCCCTTCTGGTCGCCACGTCCTCCTCCTCCTCCTCCTCCTGCCTCTGTCATCGTCTGCCTTCACTCTTCTTCTCTTTCGTCGTCCTCCTCCTCATCTTGCCAATCTAGAGCTACTCATGATGCCTACTCCTCTCCCTCCTCCCCTGGCGACGTCTTGGTTTTGACCCCCGCCTCCGCAGCAGGAATTTTCTGTATGCATGCGCTCGGAGCTGGACAACTCGGACCAACCTCGGTCGATTCAGAAAACGCTCTCACCTCGGCGACTGCCGCTCCCACCCCCTTCACATCTCTTCGCTGCGAATGCTCCACTGCCCAACGCGGACGTCGGAATTTGGACGACGCAACTTGTAATTGCACCTCCCGCAACGCCTGAATTTTGAACCGCCCATCCCAGAAAGTAGCTTGTCACGCGCAGCCTGACAACATACACGTTAGTTTCATGTTTCCCCACTCGGAACACTAGCAACCGTTACAACTGGCGCTGTCTCTCTGGCTCCTGTAACACCTGTTCCCTCTGCAGTTGATCACCATGAGTGCGGAAATGCAGGCTCCGCCACCGTGCCGCGTGGCACGACGCCAGGACCGCAACTCTCTGGAACTGCTGTGCGCTCATTTTTGTGTGGCGTGGCTTTTCCCGAGGCCTTGGTCGCGCCAATACTTCCAACAAGCCTTGTGAGCGCCGTCGCAGAGCCCTCTTTGGGGCCTTTTGGGACAGTGTTGGAGCCCTCTCATGTTTTGTTTCCCGACGGACGTCGGGAGTACGTGTGCTCCTCAGCCCATTCAAACAGGGGCAACACACTCAACATCCTACAACTTCATCGTTCGAATTTTCCCCTTCCCTCCTCCTGATGCAATTTGTCCTCGTGCTGCTGCTGCCTTTCCTCATCCTCCTCATCCTCCCATCATTTTCCTCAGCTCTCTCCTGCCCCTCCTTCTCCTCGTCCCATCCCTTTTCTCTCCCCATGCCCTCCTGCTGTTGACTGTCGTCGTCGTCCTCCTCCTCCTCCCCAATTCCATCTTCCTCCTGCGGTTGGTCCTCTCCCTTCATTTCTTCCTCCCCCTCCTCCTGCTGCGCAGAGAAGCGCTCTAGGGGTAATGAAGAACCCCCTCGTCCTGTGCGCTGCTCTTCTATCCTCCGCTCTCCTCCTTCTGCGTGCTGGAGCAAAAAGACGAGGCGACCTGCGATCTGAGCACCGAGGAGAACACGGATGCAAATATGGGCCCACGATCGTGTGGGCACGATTGGCCATCGCGCCCGTGACTGTAAGGGCTGGGCCACTATGGAGACGCTAACCGAATCACCTACACTGCCTCAGCGCTGAACGCTGAACCCCGCGTCCACCAGCATGCCCTAAGTGGCGATTCTTGGCACGGTTTAGCCAAGCAAAGCGAACCTGCGCCACAACATACAACAATTGCACAGGACATACGGGTCGCAGAAAATATGTCTGCCAAAACCAGACACGCGGGGATCCATTCCCCATTCTGCGACGCAATCCTAACAACTATATGGAACAGCAACCTTACACAGAGGCGGAAAGAACTTGAACCGCGGTCGACCCTGTTCGGAAATTCACCAGTGCCGTCTGGAGATGATGGCGGATTTATTGGGATAACATGAAGTTTATTTACTGGCGCCCTGGACCTCCTGCACTTCCTGGACTCCCATACCACGCGCCCGCTTCACTCCCAACAGCCCCAACACGCTTAGCACGCTTACGCAGGCCTTAAAAGCAAAAAATGCCTACGAGAAAACAACGTGTCTCCCTCCCCCGCGAACCGCTCAGAGGCCTCAAAATTGAAGAAGATGCTTTCACCATTATTTTGTTCCGGATTGCCCACACCAAAAAACTGCCGAGAAGTTGCACGACCCCTGTTTTGCGTGCCTCTACACCAAGATGTTGTGGTTTACGTGTGGCCAGTATGTGTGCTCTTTATGATTATGATGCATGTGTTCTTCATGTATGCTCTTAGTGTAAGTTCTGTATGTCTGCGCCGAGTCGTTCATTTGGGCCTGTCATCGGCCATGTAGTGATTTGTCGAAGATCCTAGGCGGTACAGTAAGGATCACCAGAGACAATCATCATGTGATGCTGGGTCCACGTTTTGAAGACACATCGCCCCACGTCTCTCCTCCTCTCTTCTCCTCCTCCTTCCCCGCACCCTCGTCCATCCTCATTATCATCATCATCGCCATCGTCATCATCATCATCACCACCATCATCATGATAATCATCATCATGATCTTCATCATCATCATCATCATCATCATCATCATCTTTATCATCGCCGTCACCATCTCAATATTCGTCGCCAACATCATCGCCATCACCATCACCATCACCATCATCATAATCATCATCTTCATCAGAATCTTCATCGTCAATCCCATCTTCATCCTCATCTTGATCCCCACCCTCATCCTCATCCTCATCATCGCTATCCCATCCCCATCCTCAGATTCATCCTCATCATCATCAACAACATCATACCAATCATATTCATCACCATCACCATCATCATCATCAGCATCATCATCATCATCACCGCCAGCATCATCATCATTGTCACAATCATCACCACCACCATCCTCATCCTCATCAACATCACCATCATATTCGTCACCATCATCGTCATCGTCATCGTCATCGTCATCATCATCATCACCATTACCATCACCATCACCATCACCATCACCATCACCATCACCATCACCATCACCATCACCATCATCATCATCATCATCATCATCATCATCATCATCATCATCATCATCATCATCATCATCATCATCTCCTGCTGCACCCCATGCCACCCAAGCATTTATGTGTGGTGGGCGTCCCGGGCGATTCCACCAAAGGCGCAGCAGCGAGCGAACGAGACGCACGGGAGAGAGAGAGACGAGGAGGAGGAGAACCCAACGCACCCACACAACACCGAGGAGGAGAGAAAGAGAAAGAGGGAGAGGAGGGCGGGCCAAACAAAGACTTGAGCCGACGCGGTTGCGGCGCATCGGCGCGACCGCGACGGCCCTCGGTTCCACCAGAGATGAATGTGCAAACGCGGCCATCTCCTGCTACACCACAGGCCACCCAAGCATTTATGTGCGGTGGGCGTCCCGGGCGATTCCACCAAAGGCGCAGCAGCGAGCGAACGAGACGCGCGGGAGAGAGAGAGGAAGAGGAAGAGGAAAACCCAACGCACCCACACAACGCCGAGGAGGAGACCCGAACCCGAAAGGAGAAGTGGCGACGGCAAAACGGCGCCGAGATTACATAAACTTATGAACCCTAGCTGCCTCTCCGTGCCAAGGGACAGGCCAGCGCGACGCGCAATCGATATCCTCAAGTATGTTTCGACCGCAGCTTCGGCCAGGCTGCAGGGAACGAGCGGCGAGTGCGGTTGCGAGAGATCGCGAGAGAGCCGACTCGACGCCTCAAAACCCCTTGTTGGGTTGACGAGGTAGTCAAAAGGAAAAGGTGGCAGAAGGGGTTGGATGGGTGCCGTGAAAAACTTGAGCCCACATGGCCCGCGGCACCTCCAACTCCCCAGATCATTCACGTGCAAGCACTAAACATGAACCCTAGGAGCCTCTCCGTGCCAAGGGACAGGCCAGAGCGACGCGCAATCGATATCCTCAAGTATGTTTCGACCGCGGCTTCGGCCAGGCTGCAGGGAACGAGCGGCGAGAGCGGTTGCGAGAGAACGCGAGAGAGCCGACCCGACGCCTCAAAGCTCAAAGCCCCTACCCACTGACAAAGAGTGTCTTGGCCTCGGCCACAACGAAACGCGCCAACGACTTACATGCATTAACTGGATACGGGCATGCTCTCGTGGTCCAGAAAACTCCGTTGGGATCCTTACCCCGCAAAACAATGCGCCTCTTTCCTGAAGTGCTACACCTACCATTCTGACAAACGCAGCGCTTGACCTGATCTTGCATCGGAGGTCAATTGAAAAGAACGAAACAGGTCGCTTGGCGCCATGGGGCGCCATGCTGACAGAAATCGACTTGGACCCTCTCACCACCTGTATCATCAATGACATTACAAAGCTCAGGGGCGCGCCGCAGCCGGGAGGTGGAGGGATTCCCCAAAGAAAAAGGGAATCCTGCGAGCAGACAGGCGTCCAAAATAATCAGCACATTGAACAATGGGGGGCTTGCTCCAACCAGCTTGCGCCTATCTACAGAACTGAGCTGGGGAAGGCCCCAGATGTCTTGGTCACTTCTCACGGGGGGAGACCCGCGTCCGTCGTTCTTACGAGCACGAGACCAAGTCTTGCAGTCTAGACCGACGTGGACCCCCTCCACTTCAGTATCTAAAATACTGCGCTCGAGGCGGGCGATCACGCCAAGGTCGCTGAGGTCAGCGGCCTCCCCGTCTTCGCGGTCCCGACCTGCGAAGCCCACCCAGCGGCGGCGACGGTGCTGGCCAGGCGAGCGGACCCGCGCATGAGCTCGAGGAAAGGCCTGGCAAGCGAGGCAAGCTGGACTTCGCGCGTGAAGAGGCGAGGCGGCGGCCTCGGCTCCTCTCGGCGCCCTCCGAAGCTCTGCGGGCCGCCTGTAGCTTCCGCGGGGGCGCCCTGGGCGCGGGCTGCCAGCTGAGCGCCAGCGTCAGGGCTCGCTCGAGCTGGCTGGGCGCCGCGTCGGCAACGCGGCGTGCGCTGCCCTCCGGCTCCGTGAGCTCCTGCTGCACCAGCGCGTGAGCCTCGTGGCGCTTCATCATGTTGTCGGAGGCCCAGCGTCCTCTGTCCTTGGTCTCGGCCAGAGACCTGCGGCGGCAAAGCCTGTCGTGAGACGGCCCTCCGTGCCTCAGCTGGTATGGCGCGTAGTGGCGGCCTATCCGAGCGAACGCCAGCGCGGGCCCCCACAGCCGCCCCAGCTCCTGAGCGTCCGTGCGGAAGAGCATCGCGGTGGGGTTGCGCGTCAGGCACCTCGCGACGAGCGGCCCCAGCCACGGCACCTCGACCGAGTCGAGAAGGGAACTCTCGTCGGCTAGCCCCATCTTGCTGCTCTCCCCCCTCACCGAGGGATGTGGGTTGCAGCCGTAGTGCTTGCACGAGCCGCTGGGGAGGAAGACGTCCTGCTCTCGGAGCCCTAGGGCCTCGCTTGGCCTGAGGTATGCCCAGAACATCACCACAATCATGAGTCCGACCTTCGGGAAACCGCGGTCGCAGGCCGCAGTCTTGGCCAGCAAAGCGGCGACTTGCCAAGGGATGGGAGGCCGAGTCTGTCCTGGATCGAGCCTCTTCCAGCCCTGGAGCGCCCTCGAGAATCGCGGCAAGCGGAAGGATCCCTTTCGGGAAAAGTCGGGGCACTCCGAGATAAAGGCGGCGTGCGTCTTCAGCAGATCGGCCCTCTCCAGCCCGATGCTCCACGCGTAGTCGGCGTAGTTCGTGAGCGCCAAGTCGGCGTCCGCCGCGGTGGCTAGCGCGAGGCCGCGCGAGCTGGCGAACCGACGGAATTCGGTCAGAGCCTCCTCGTAGTAGGCCTGAGTCTGCGGGGCCACCGCGTTCCACTCCAGGAAACCCCTGTCGCTCTCGTCGAGGATCCGAAAAGGGCCCGACGACCCTTGTCTCTTCGCGCTCCTCTCTGCTCTGGTCGCGCCGACAAGCGGTCGGCCCTTCAGGAAGTCCTTCCTGGCGAGGCGGCTGCTCGCCGCGGGGCGCTTGGCCGCTGCCGGCCTGAGGTGGCGGACTACGCTGCCTCGGCACCCAGCGCCGCGACCCCCCATCGGCGACGTTCCGCTCTGAGGGGATCCAGAGATGCTCGAACTTTGAAGCAGTTGCCACTGAGGGCGCAGCCTCGCGACGACAGCACACCAGCAGGGGATGGGCTGAACGCCAATATGGTCCCCGAACTTTAGATGAAGATGTCCGAACGCAGCTTGACTCCTGAAAACGTGCCTGGATGTCATGCTGGCCGCTCGGCCCTCGACTATGGTAATGGGCTCTTTGACGTGAAACCTGGCGGAGACGACCTCTTTCCAATCATAATCCTGCAGAGCCTCAGCGGGGACCTCGATGAAGTCGGGGTTGAGCTCCCGGGGGTCTCGCTGGAGGTCCTCGTCGGGGATCTTCGGGGCCTCCGCCGTCGAGACGTCCGAGAACACGTCGAGTTGGCCACTATGGGGACCCTGTGGGGCCAGCGCAGACTGACGGGCTTGTATCGCCGAAGGCGTTCGGCATCTCCATCTCTCACTGACTGACCCGATGCTCTTGACAAGAGACAAGGGGCGGATGGTTTGGCAAGCGGCCATGCCTGAGAGAGAAGCATCATAACATGTGACAGCTGGGCTCCACGGTAGCCTGATGTCCGCGACCATTAGCAGAAGTCGGCGACGGCGCTGCGCAACTTCGCACGCAGCTGAAGGCCAACGGCGAGCCCGCCTACTGTGGCAATCTCTTACACAATCGTACGAGTTTCTGAGAATACAAAGCAGCTCCCTTCGTAACATGATATCAGTTGCCCGATGAACCTCTCCACCTCCCTTCCAAACACTCTCGGCTGTCGCTCCAACCACAGAGCAGCCTGACGCAGGCGCTCCGTGCGCTCTGGGCGAGAACAAACCAGACCACTGACGCCGTCAACAAAGCGGCCTAAGCTGGTGAATGTGTCTGTCGCCTCCACCGCCTCATGGGTCAGAACTCCGTGTCTTCTCCACTCGGCGCAAATCGCGTTCAGCTGTAAATTGCCGCGGTCGGGGTCCGTGCCGATGACGTTGATGTTATCGCAATAGGGGAGGAGGAAAGGCTCGCCACCGTCCAAAGGAGGGACGGGGCCGTGATCGGTCAGCACCCTGGAGATCCAGAGGCCAGAAGCGAGGCAGCAGATGTGCGCGTTGGCACGCTGCCCTAACCAGATGGCCCAGGACCAGCCCATGGGGACGACGCGCAAAAAACGCCAGACCCAGCCCCCTGAGGGGCTGTCAGGGGCATCAACTGCCTCCACCCCCCATTGCGACAACGCGGCCCGGGAGACGGGCGGCAACGAGAAGTAGAGCCCAATCTCCGTAGGAAGACCGAGCGCGTAGAAGTAGTTCCTGACGTCGGCCTGGGTGCAGTAGAGCTTGGTAGTATAAGCTCACGCGTCGTCGCGATCACCAGGTAGGTGGAGGCGTCCATAGGCGGCAGACGCCCCCATCGAAAGAGGAGGCGGGGCGCGGAACCTCCTGTTCGGCGCCCGCGCATCCCAGACGAGCCTCTGGGCACCGCTCTTCTTCGCCACGAAGAAGGGCGTCGCCAAATCCTTGGACGCAGCGCGAGGCCCAGCATGTTGGCCTTCACCAAGTCTGAGATGAACAGGTGGTAAGCGCCAGCGTCACTCTTCAAAACCACGTCCATGTACGGGGTGACGGGCGGCTCTGAGTCGAGGTTCCTGGGCCACTCGTCAGGAGTGAGCATCATCTTGCTCTCAGAATCCAGCACGTAGTCCATCCCGATCGGGCCGAGCACCGTCTCAACCGCAGGCGCGGCCGCATCCACTTCTGGGATGTCTACTCGGGATCTGACGTGCTGCACCACTGGGCTCGGAGCCTCGTTACCGGTGTATGACGGGCTGGTGGCCAGGAGCTCCTTGGCGGCTCCACGGCGTGAAAAGGTGGTAGTAGTCATCGGGGCACTGCGAACGTGATGCAAAACTGTGGCAGCCGCAAGGCGGTGGGCCGCCGTGGTCTGACCACGCTGCTCACACGGGGGGTGGAGAGCGTTGAGACCAGCAATCGCTTCATTGGCGAGTTGCTCCGAGCGCCGTCGGTGAGCCAGCCTCCTGCGCGTGGAAGACGAGACTGACCCCGATGTCGGCTGCGTCGGCTGAATCAACGGCAGCGGAAACAGATCTCGCTGGCGATCTGCGGCTGCCGCTAGTGGCGAGGAAAGCTCCTCGGCGGGCGGCGGGGCGGTCATCGAGACCCCGTCCTTGGCCTGTGGGCCGCCGCGGGACGGCCAGCTCCCGCGGCGTGGGGCGGTCATTGCCCCGGCCCCCCGTTGTGGGCGGGGTCGCCCGTAGCTGCTCCCTTCGGCTCTCGGCGCAGCTTCTGCTCCTCCTTGGCCTTCCTGGTCTCCTTGAGCACCGCGGCCTTGTCTCGCAGGTTGGCCGCCACGTGCTTCTGGAGGGCGGGGTCGACCGCCGAGCCACCGCGGTGAGCAGACCATGTGCTCGTCGGCGGCGGAGTAGTCTGGTGCCGACGGCGACGCAGCGTGTGCGTCCTCGATCACCTGGAGGCGACGGCAGACCAGCTCGGCGCTCTGGAGCGCTGGCGCGTTGAGCTGGTCCACGCTGATCATGGACTCCAGCGCCCTGCAGAGGACCTCGTGCCCGTGGATCGAGCGGTCGCCATCTGGGATACGACGCGCCCTCAGCCAGTTCGAGTGGTGAGTAACGGGCGCCAGCCCCGCATCTCTCCACGACCGGAGCACCCGCAAGCACGACGGAAGTCCGTCCAGCATCAGTCCTCCCTCGGGCTCGTCAGCAACCTGAAGGTCCACGGTCTCCGTGAAAGGGCGGCGCCTGGCTCCCTCCTGACTGAACTTCGCAGGCAGCGCCCTGTGATCATCGATGACGAAAGCGTCTATCTCCGCCGCGGGCATCAAGCGCGCCGCGACCCATCCACCTTGAACTGGGGCCAGAGCGACGTCTCCGTGCACCTCGGCGTTCGGCGGCAGCGGATCAGGGAGACGCTCTCCTCGCCGCAGCCCGCGGAAGTCCTCGGTGGCCAGCCACGCGGCCGGCGCGGCAGCCTCGATCGGGGGCGCTGCTCCAGCGCGGCCGACCACTCCCGCCTCTCCACCCTGCCTGGCTGCGGGGGCGGGCGCTGCAGCTGGTGCAGCCGCGCCGCCTGCAGGCGCAGGGGGCCCAGGCTACCGGGAGAAGGACCGCCCACCAGCAGCGCGCCGTCCCTCTTGAGCTGCTCAAGCCCCGCGTCCGAGGGCATGGCTCTGAAACGGTAGACCTGCCGAGCATCCACTCCCGCAGGCGTCGCACCCTGAACTCCAGACCAGCGGACCTCCGCCGCGTCGTCACTCCTGGTCTCCTCGGCGTAGTGATCGCCGTCTGCCGTGAGTGTGGCGAGAAGACCAGGCACCGACTGGCTCACTCCTGTGACCAAACGTTCGTGGAACAGAGGAGCCCCAGGAATATCGTATCTGATGAGAATGAAATCACCAGGCCGCGCCATTTCTCAGACGGAGAAGCGCGACCTGCTGCCTTGCCCGATCCTCCAGAGAGGCGTCTCGACCTGCCGCCCGACCTTGCCGAGCCACCAAGCCCGTGGCGGCCACTCCAGCAACGACTCCCAGGACACCGCAGCAGACGCCAGCCTCCACGACGCGCCTCTCGCCCAGGATCGCCGAGCCACCCTCCTGAGGCGGGGGGCTGAGGCTGACCGCGGGTGGCAGGCAGATCAGAGGCGGGCAGGCCGCCGCAGGACAGGAGATGTTCGCTGGCGGGCAGGCCAGCGACGCGGGCGGGCACGCAGGGGCCGCCGAGAGAACAGTCTGGCGCAGCGCCGCGAGCTCCAATCCCCTGAGCGCGGCGGCCTGCAGCGACTGGAAGGATGGGGGAGGGGGGGGCCCCGTCCGCCGGGCAGGAACTCCTGCCACGAAAAACTTGAGCCCACATGGCCCGCGGCACCTCCAACTCCCCAGACTATTCACGTGCAGGCACGAAACAAACAACACAATAAACATAACTATGCAGAATCATAACATTAGCGGGAGTACTTATCTGAGACAGGACAGGCAAGGGAAACCAAACGCTTGAAGCCCTGAAAGCTGGTTTGCCTCGCAATTAGATCGGAGGAGCATGCAAAACTTAGCAAGGCAAGGTTCGGCGAGGCGGGTCCAAAGGATCCCAGAGACGGGGTCCAGGCCAGAAAGGACAATGTGGGGCTTGTCAGAAAAAGAACATACACCCTTTCTACCGCAGCATCGCGGCCTCAGGAGAGCGTCAGGGTGATGTCGGGCCCAGTAAGCGATCCGCGTATACTTTCTCCGGCGGGCCCCGAACGCACGCGTGTCGAGGTCGAAAGACGCGGCATCGTGGGCCCCGAGCAGGGCCTTCAAGGCGGGCGCGCTCCAAACCCGGGGGCAACCAGGGTTCTCCAGGTAGACAGGGGCGCCCCGGGAGCGGGCCAGCGCGATCAAACCAAAGGCGAAACGAAGCTGCTTCTTCCCTAAGTCGACGGCCGCCTGCGGCCTAGCAGAGAGGTTCGGCAGCCCCCAGACGTAGCCCCTCGAGCGGATGGTACACCATGAAGACCCCGGTGGCCCATGCCTGGCCTGGCACCAGGACGATCACGGCAGAGAGATCCAAAGAGCGCCGGCGACTCCACCGCGAATCCACCCACGAAACACCTGGCGAACATCAGGACGGTCGAGATCGAACCACGGCTTCGAAGCGAAATCTATCGGGGGAGCCGGCGACTCCGCGGCGCCGAAGCGCAGCGGACAGGCGACCCGTGCCGGCGAACAGCTCCAGCATTGCTGTCCAGGGGGGGCCCTGGTGACGCTTGAAGCTTGCGCGAAGTTCCTTACAATTGAGGAGGTGACGATGGATCGACTCCGTCGAGGGCCCCCCCGTGGTCGAGCCTGCAAGCTCAATTGCTCGCGACAGGTCAGGCCGAGCTCGGGCCGCGGCGCGCTCTGCAAGAGAATCCGCGGCAGGGCGGCGTCCGCCACCTGGCCGAAAGAGGTCGCCAGGAGGCCGACGCGCAGCAGCTCTGTCAGGCTGCGGATCTGCATGGCATTCCACTTGAAGTCTCGGTCGGAGGCCCAGCCGCCGCGCTGCCGCACGCCGAGGGGCGCCCGCCTCTTTGCCAAGAGGTCGTATGAGGCGTCCCCATGGCGTAGCCCGTAGGCTGAGACTGGTACGTCGTTCAGCACCAGCGCACAGGCGGCCGCCTTCATGCACGTGCCGAGCGAGGATAGCGGAAAGGGCCAGATCCGCGGTGTCCCCGACGGCGCTCGGCGCCAGAAGCCGAGGAGTGCGCGGACCAAGAAGGTGACGGTGTCGATCACCACTGCGAGTTCTCAGAGGCCTGTCATCCCGGTCCGCCCCAGCTCGCCGGGATGCAGCAGCGGCGCGGCCAGGCCCTCGCCCGCGGCGCCCGCCGCGACGGGGGGGGGGCGACCTGCGTCGTCGTCATCTGGTCGTGCACTGATGGCCTGAGGTAGCACGCGAAACTGGGCATCAGGGCGAAGGCCTGGTCGACCTGGCCGCAGTGCAGCGTCGCGCCAGCCAGCGCCGCCGCGAGCAGCCCCGGCGGCGGCATGCGCATCCTGCGGGGGGCGCACTTCCCACATCCCGCCAGACTGCGCGAGGCTCGGCAGAGCGTCTGGTAGCCCCAGCGGCCGAACTGCGGCAAAACTGACTTTCAGCGGAGCCAGCAGGCACGATGCGTCGTCCCCGCTGTGGCCGTGAAAGTACAGGTAGTCGAAGTAGGTCACCGCAGCTCCAGTCCAGGCGGAGCTGGGTACGCCAGTCGGCGAGGGCGCCCGCCCTCCGCGGGTGGTCCCTCAGCATGGCTGTGCTTGCAGACATCTGCTCGAGGTAGGTGATCCCCATCAGGAGCTCCCCTCTCAGGGCCTCCCGCTGACGCGCACCTGCCGCCAGCGGGGCGACAGCTGTCGGGGCGCCAGCACCAGCGGCCAGGGGGGCGGGCTGGAGAGAGGGGGCACGTCCTTTCGGCATCAAAGGCCAGGCCGAGCGCCCCAGCCTTCCCGCGGCAGCATCGAGGCTCATGGAGGCGGTCACCCAGAGCAGCAGCAACCTCGGCGCCAACGGACTTGATGTAGCGGAGCCCGCGCGATGGCGCATCCGCGGGGTTGAGCTCGCCGGGGGCCCACCTGGCGAAGACGTGGGGCCTGCAGGCCAGGGAGTACGCGCAGATCTCCCAGAGGACGCTGTGCTGCTGGGGGGAGGCCCCTCGGCCTTTCCCGATGGCAAGGGCGAGCGACATGTCATCGACCAGGCACGAGACCCTCTTCCCGAAGGCGTCCGCTGCCCTGAGCTGGTGGCGCAGCGCGGACGCGACGGCGAGGCCCTCCGCACGGTAGATGTCGAAGGAGTCCCTCCACGGGCGCGAGTGCGTGATGGCCCAGCCGCCCTCGGTGAGGAGGTTGGGGTCGACCTCGCCGAAGGACTTGTCCCAGTTCTTGGCCTCGTCGGTCGGCAGGCTGCCAGGGTCACGAAGCGCCGAGCCAGGAGAGCCAGGCCCCAGGGCATGGTCGCGCGCGCGAGCTGACTCCTCGAAGAGATATCGCCACTTCTCCGCCGCGCGGCCGATCTCGGCCACCGCGTCGCGGTGGCAGCGGCGGCGGCAAACCCCGCAGCCCCAGCCAGAGGCGTCGCTGGCGGCGACCTCGTCGTGCCAGTCAGCGTTGGTGAAGACGACAAAGAGCGGCAGTAGCGAGCGGACATGCCAGAGCTCCCGCCGCACCGATGGCCAGAGCGGCAACGCCCCGTCCTTCGCGAAGGCAATGAAGGCGTAGACTGAATCGAAGATGGCCAGGAAACACCTCTTGAGCAGCATGACCCAGGTGCAGTGGCCCACGACGATCTCCAGGATGGGCGCCTGGCCCGCGCGGTACTTTCGGTCGGGGGCGGCGGCCCCCTGGGCGACTGCGCAGCTCCTCTAACCCAGTGCCTCTCTGCCTGGAAGGCGTAAGTCTGGCATTTCACCCGTCGGCGGCCTCTTTCGCTCGGGGGCCGCCGGGCAGACGCGCAGGCCAAGGGCAACTCGAGCCGTGATCGATGCGCCGCTACCCTGCGAACATCACGCTCGGGACTTCCAGCATGACCAAAGCCTCGCACGTGCCGCCGTTTGAAATTTCGGGACACGCCGCGCTAAATCTACCAATGGCTTTACTGCCCCCCCCACCACCCCAGCGGTGTTCCAATGTGAGAGAGGCATGGTCGCACCAGAGAGCCTATCCGCACATGCCCACCGCTTGGGGGGCAGCGCCCGCACTGCGAGTCGGGGTGCCCCCCGGAGACGCGCGCGCCTTAAGGGCAGCGCACAGTGAGGTGAGTGGTAGAGCAATGCAGGCGCCGCCAACCGGCCAGGCCTGCACCGCCGTGCGCACCCCGCCATGCGACGCACGGACACGCGCGGCGGAAGTAGGCAGAGGATGGGGGCCGGACATCAGGCGCCTTGGAGACCAGGCTGCCCAGAGGGCAGCTAAAGTCGGAGCGCCAACAGGACCTGTCAGGGGCGGAAGAAAGAAGCGACATCACAGAGAAAACAATCATAGAAAGGCGGTCGTAGAGAAGCGTCACGATGCACGCCTGTGAGAAGGAGGACTGTCGGCGCCAAATTATGTAGGGGAAGATCTGGATGCGCACCTGGCGACAACGACCGAACCAGATGGCAATGCTGTGAGAATGCACAAGAGAAGGAACATGTCGTCGTGCGCCTGCGCTGGGGGGGGGGGGGGGGGCGGAACTCTTCTAATTCGGCTCGAAAGGCGCATTTCAATCGGGGAATGGCATATACCGCAAGCGCGGGCCGAGTCGCGAGAACAACGTTGACGCAGTGAGCTCGCGCGAGGCGGCGCGGAAAGGAAGGGGAAGGGGGGGGGGGAAGGATGAGTAGACCTCGCGATCAACAAGCATGCCCCCCGAAGGATGCGAGCCGCCGCGCTGGTCGAACACTGGCCACCGCGAGCATGCCGTGCTCGTGCTCTTGTCGAGAGGTGCCAGTTTTCACGGCTGCGGCCCCCCCTGCTGGAGGTTTCCGCAGGGCTGTGGCCCCCCTGCGAAAGGCATCTGCAGGGCTACGGCCCCCCTGCAAGAGGTCCCTTGCCAGGCGGGGGAAGAATGGGAGAAAAGGAGGGGCCGGGCCCGGCGCTGGGGGGGCGCGGGGGGGCGGCCGCGGAGGAAGCCCCCGCGACCCCGGGGCCGGGCGAGGGAGGAAGAAGGGGGGGCGTAGATGCGTAGATCATGGAGTCCGCGCGTGCAGAAGTCGGCCCCTGCTTGCCTGGCGCGACGTGCGCCGCGCGACTTGCGCGCGGTCCAAACGGGCAGAAAAGTCGGCGACCCGTGCCTTTTCAGCACATATGATTCGCGCGTCTCTTCTCGAGCCTGGGAGGGGTGACGCATGCGTCCTGCGTGAGGTCTGCCGCCTGTGAAGGCGAAATCGTAAACCGAAGTCGGGTAGCCAGCTGGCCAATCTGGGCCCGTGCATCATGCAAATCTGCCAGGGCGCTGGAATTCCGCAGCGCGATCATATCAATTCTTTCCGTAAGCAGTGTGCCCGCGCCCAGATGCGTCGCGACGTCGGGCGATGGCCTGGTCGGCGCGCGCGGCGCGCCGCGCAAGGCAGAGGCGGAGAGAAGAGAAGGGGCAAATGCGGGGTGGTCACATGGATGGGAAGCAACGAAGCCGTAGATGGATGGAGAAAGCAAAAGGACAATGCATGAGTACATGACAAGCATAAAACAAAAACCTCGACAATGAGGGGACAGTCCAAATACCTCCTCCGCGCAGAAAGCCATGAATATCGGCGCGTTGACACATGTGGGTGTTTCCTCCGACGCAGGGCGGGGAGCTTCCCGCGCATGCAACTTCGCAAAATTAGCTTCCTACCGAGGCTGTTGATGGCGGTCACGTGGCCCAGAAAACAAAGCACATTAGGCTGATGACCTGGGAGAAGTATGATCGCGCCAGAGAGGCTATCCGCATATGCCCACCCGTGGGGGACAGCGCCCTCGCTATGAGCCAGGGCGCCCCCAAGAGACGCGCGCGCCTTCTGGGTAGTGCGCGGCGAGGTGAGAGGTAGAGCTATGCAGGTGTTGCCCACCGGCCAGGCATGCACCGTCGCGCGCGCAGTTATCCTACACATGGCGTCAGCCTCCAGAACAAACTTTTCAATGATGAGATTGACGCCGCGCCCAGTATCGACGAATAAAAGCGAACCAAGCTGGCCAGAGTCGAGAGCTCTGTGGCCCGCGGCGGCTGAGCCACCGCGGGCGGAATCATCATCCTTCTGAGATTCCCATGTCAACCGAAATTGCCAGACCTCGTCCTTGAACTCCGCGGATGTCAATCGAACTGCCAAGCTCGAGGCTTCTGACGCAAACGTCATTTTGGTCCGGGCCCTGCTAGAAAACTCCCGCCGATCTTCAGGACTGGAGAAGACTGCCCGATTCGCGCGGCAAAAAAGCTGTCTGTGCGTGTGCGGGTGCCTTGGTCGACGGGCTAATCCTTGCGCGCAAAGCGCGCGAAACCGAAGCTCCTGACTTCGCGCGACTGACCCTAGAGGCTACGGCGCACATAATTCTAATGCCAGCTCGAGGAAGCAAGGTGTGTCACATGGCGACAATTTGACTGTCCTCTTTCACCGTGTCCGACATGGTAACAGGGGCATATTCTGCCACGCGTTCGAATTTTCCCACGCGGTGAAAGGGCCCACTTTAATCCAGGATCTTCTAGAATTTGCCGCGCCGTCGAGCCAACATGGGGCTTGCAGTGCGTGCCTGGCATCATGGGGGCGGGGCGAGCAACGTGGCCCTGGCCCGCGCACGGATTAGGAGACTCTCCGCCAAACCCATTGTCGGCGTCATTGGTGAAACAGGGTCTGGCGTGCCACGGGAAACATTGTGAGCCGCTCCACGTATTGCGTAGATCCCCTCGACGGGATTGGTTCCTCCGCTTCAGGAGTCGGTTGCACCGGCCACTCTGCATCGGAACAACGATTGCCGCCGTCCTGAAAGGACGCAACACGCCTCCCAGAAGATCGACGGTTGAACCGCCGACCCCGCGGTCGCTCGTCTCTCGCGCCCTGGGGCGTTGGCGCAACGCTTGCAAATTTGATCCATGTGTGTGCGTGTCATTGCCTTGCCAGTGCCTGCGTGGCACTTTGCCCGCCCCGCTGCCTCTCTTCCCCCTGCCGCCTTTCGGACTGCCG